AAAAGGTTGGAGGTATATCGACAAGATGAACACAATTCTCCATCACCACCCGACACCCATACCCATGGATCAATTTCAAATTCATGAATTGACCAAAGACATTTGTCAGGACGACGCCCTACCTAGCACAGTGAGAGAGTGGTCACAGCCAGATGATGATAGCCATGCCGAAGAGTAGTGTCGGTATTTCGGACCAGGTGGTCCTCAACCAACGATAAATGTGAAGCTGCGTGCCCCTAATCCGGATGTTGATGCAAAGAGACACAAGGTTTATCTTTGGTTCAGGCAATCGGTGCCCTACGTCCGATCTAGGAAATCGATCTTGTATTCTTTGGACCGAAGTGCTTGTAGTAGGGGTTACAAAATTTGGGTGAGAGAGGAGCTAGTCCGGCGTGGGTGGTGCGGTTGCTTGAGTTGTTGCTCTCGAGCAAGCGTGGGAGCGTCGTGAATTGAGTGAGTGCGTTCTTGCGGGAGGTGTGTGTCTTGTCGAATCGGCCCCGATCCATAGAAGCAGCCGTGACTGGCGCTTCCTTTTATAGTCACAAGGAGGAAGCCGAGTACATGAGAGAGCTACGTGGAGCCTTAGCGAGGAAGGAAGATCGATCTTGTGGAATATTCATGTAGCAAAGACGATTAATCGGGAATGGCAATTGGTACTTGATCAGCTTTGGTGCGTCATGCGGCCATGCTCAATTGTTGAAGTCGTAGGGGTCCTCGTTGACGTTTAGTCGATATGGCCTCCTCTGTAGGTGACATGCCGTGCCTTGTGAATTTTGACTTGGTGGTTCGTAGGAGCTGGCGGTGTTGTGGCTAACGCCGCCGAGGCCTAATTTGCCAAGGCCTTGGAGGTGACACAATGTATATGGGCGGGGCCTCGGCGGTCGGCCGTCGTGCCGATTTAGGTGGAATAGTCTTGGGGCGTGTGTCCATGAGGCATGGCAACCCTGCACCATCGGTAAGGGATGGTAAAAGGAGATTTGACCATTGTCACATCGCTCCTGTTCTTTCATACCACCGGTCGTGGTTGACGAAGCGGATGCATTGAGCGCATTAAATGGATGGGACAACTGCCAGAGGGATTGCCTCGGCGTGAGAGGGCCTCGGCCAGGCGAATCGGAGAATCGGCCTCGGCGGAGGGCCTCGGCAGGGGCGAATCGGAGAACCGGCCTCGGCCAGAGGGCCTCGGTGGGCGAATCGGAGAATCGGCCGAGGGCCCGTGGTTGTCCTTCGGCTTTGATATTTGTAAGGTCTAAGCAACATTTTTGGTTCTTGCTTAGGGTACCACTTTCTTGTGGTATCCGACAGTAGCCCCCGAGCCTCGGGAGGAGTGCGGGCACTCTCCTGAGGTTTTGACGAGACTTGGTTTGACAGCTCACCCTGTCGGGATCGTGTTTTGTACTTGGTGGTTACGGTGGGTGCGGCCTTGGCCTACGGCCGTGTAGAATTAACCCGAGGCCACGGAGGTGGATTTACTCCTCCGGGGCTTTGTTCTGATGAGCGAGGAGTTTATTGCGTTCTTGGGCCCCTGAGTGCGAGTGCGGGTCATTTGGGTCCCCGACAAGTTTGCAAAAGAGCCCCCAAGCCTCTGCGCAGGCGAGAGGCGTCGGGGAGTTCCCCTGCATGGTGGCTGGCCCGACTGATTCAAGAGGAGGTGGCTCCTCCTACACCGTCCGTCGATCGCCTGGCGACCCGTGATTCGACCTAGGCCAAAGGGGTCATGTAATAGATTAGGACGTACATCATTGTACCATAACGTTTGTGGCCGTCAAGGCCTTTTCAGTACTTGTGTATATATGCATCTTAATCGTTTTCTATTATGTTTCCCAGCCCTTGCCCTCTGCTCCATTTCTGAACATATCACTTGCAAAAAACTTCCTCGGAGCCCAAAGCCCCTCTCTGGCAAAAGGTGGTGAGGGATTTGCGTAACCAGGCGTGGCGATCTCATGGCTTCGGTCGGCCTTTTGGCCTCGAGGCATACTTTCGGTCCTTAGGTTTTTACAATTGATTTGTCGAGTCTGTGAGAGAGTTGGCGTGGGAAATTTTTCAAAAGACGACTAAAAAGCGGTGTCCCCTGTCTCGTTTTTAGACAAGTCCTTTGCAAAAACTTCCTTGGAGCCTAAAGCCGCCCCTAAAGGCGAAAGGTGGTGAGGAGTTGCCGTAGCCAGGCGTAAAGGTCATCTGTCGGTCTCGGCCGACCTTTACAGCCTCGAGGTGAACTTTCGGTCCTTAGGTTTTTGCAATTGATTTGTTAGAGTTCGAGATGAGTTTGGGATTTGGGAGGAGGTTCCCTCCTCCCGAGGGAGGCCTCGGTTCTGAGAGGGATCGAGTCTTCCCCAACATATCGTATCATGCTTGAACCGCACTCGAATGGGCTTGGGGGGTTCCTCGAAAATTTAGAACAATTAAAGAAGCGCTTCTTTATTGCATTTCGAGGAAAATTGTATGATGCTTGGGAATTTAAGGGTAGAAGCGACGTATCTCATTCTATGTTCCAAGTGTTGGTGAGAGATTTCGCCCTTCTCGTAGGCTAGCTTGTAGGTCCCGTGCTTTGGTACTGGGCGGGCCACCAACTTCAAGTCGTCGATGAGGTCACCTTGGCCTTCTGGACTTGTCCTTGATGTCGTCCACGCCGGCCTCGACGGTTCGCCTGATGTGCTCGCCCAAGACACAGGTGGTGCCGGTGATGCGTGGCCCCTGCATTTACGAGGCCCGAATGGCATAGTCACATAGCGGTACATGTCGAATGGGGTGATGAAAAATCGGCTCCTCGGGGAGGTGGCGGGCGAGAGGTTGATGGCGGGGCGTCGCCCGTGCCACCGGCGTCTTTCGCCGAGGCTTAAGCTAGACGGGTCCCCAACGGGGACCACTGTACCAACAACCGGGCATGGGATCCGAAGAGGCGTCGCCGCATCACATGGCGTTCGCCCATGTCGAGGGCTCGAGCAAGTCAGTCCCCAACCGGGGACCTTGTGCCAATGTTGGACATGGGGTGCCGACAGAGCAGCGGTGCGCCACCATGAGCTCAGCATGGTGTCGGGGTGGTCCTACCCGCATTACGCTGGCGGCGTGGCGTGGCGGTGGCTGGGGGCGCCGCGCCAGCGCTGGGCTTGGTGCGTGATGTAAATCGTCGGTTGGCGGGGCTCTGGGTGGGAGTACCATGTCATTACTTGTATCTAGAGACATGAACTCTAGGCTCCGAACCGGATCATCGTCTTGAGATGTAGTGGTCGTATAAGTGCGCCATCAAGAACTTGTTGGGATGATCACACTAACACGTAGATCCCCTACCTAGCGGCCAAGCTGCCGGTGTTTGGAATGAGGGTCCTCAACCAACCGATAAATGTGAAGCTGCGTGCCCCTAATCCGGATGTTGATGCAAAGAGACACAAGGTTTATCTTGGTTGAGCAATCGGTGCCCTACGTCCGATCTAGGAGATCGATCTTGTATTCTTTACCGAAGTGCTTGTAGTAGGGGTTACAAAGTTGGGTGAGAGAGGAGCTAGTCCTGTGTCTCGGCGTGGAGTGGTGCGGGTACGCTTGAGTTGTTGCTCTCGCGGCGTGGGAGCGTGCGTGAATTGAGTGAGTGCGTTTCGCGGGGAGGGTGTGTGCGCGCGGAGTCGGCCCGATCCATAGAAAGCGGCCTGATTGCTTCCTTTTATAGCCACAAGGAGGGAGCCGAGTACATGAGAGAGCTACACGTGGAGCCTTAGCGAGGAAGGAAGATCGATCTTTGTGGCCTATTCTGTAGCGCAAAGACACAGTGTCGGGAATGGCAATTGGTACTTGATCCTTTGGTGCGTCATGCCGGTCATGCACGAAATTTGCATTGAAGTCGTAGGGGTCCTCGTTGATGTTTAGTCGGCATGGCCTCCTCTGTAGGTGACATGCCATGCCTTGTGAAATTTTGACTTGGTGGTTCGCCGAGGCTGGCGGTGTTTGTGGCTAACCGCGCGAGGGGCCCGATTTGCCGAGGCCTTGGAGGTGACACATGTATGAGGCGGGGGCCTCGTGATCGGTCACTTAGTACCAGTTTAGGTGGAATAGTGCGGACGTGTGTCCATGAGGGCATGGCAACCCCCTGGCGTCGGTAAGGGATGGTAAAAGGAGATTTGACCATTGTCACATCGCTCCTGTTGTTGTACCACACGGCCGTGGTCGACGTAGCGGATGCATTCAGTAGCATTAAATGGATGGGACAACTGCGGAGGGATCGCCTCGGCGAGAGGGCCTCGGCGAGAGAGGGCCTCAGTGGCGAATCGAAGAATCGGCCTCGTGAGAGAGGCCTCGGCAGGTGAATCGGAGAATCGGCCTCGGCGAGAGGGCCTCGGCCGGAGGGCCTCGGCCAGGCGAATCGGAGAATCGGCCTCGGCGAGAGGAGCCTCCTGGGGCGAATCGGAGAATCGGCCGAGGCCCCGTGGTTGTCCTTCGGCTTTGATATTTGTAAGGTCTAAGCAACATTTTTGGTTCTTGCTTAGGGTACCCTTTCTTGTGGTATCCGACAAGTAGCCCTCTAAGCAAACTCCTGTCTCCCCACCCATGAGAACAATGAAAGTTGTGGAGGTTGATATTACCTTCTGAGATGTCTATCAATCAATTCGCACTACCTATTTAATATCCATGTTACTTTTCTAACAATACGAATGTATAAAAACTGTGTAGTACCATTACCGAGAAGACCTAATGATTTGCAAAATTGTATCTGTTGGTTCTTGGAATACAAGTGCATTGCAACACAGGAGTTGAAGAGGACACGATCCTGAGGCAGCTACCTAATGATCTTCGTCGAGACACAAAACAGTACCTATGCCTTGATCTTGTACATCGCTCAAGTAGTTTTCTGGTTACTGCCAACATCTTCTAGAATAATGGCATACCATGACATCTACTCTACTACTTGACATTTCAAGTGAAAGAAGAGAAACATTACTGAGGAGCAATAAACAGAAATACTGAATATAGCACAGTCCAACAATCAATTACAGGTGCTGCTATTTTCTACAATGGAGCATCAACTACTTGACGCTCTTTGTGAGTGTATGACATACTTCCTTTGTGCTGAAGGCACCTACATTATCCATGACCATGAGGGAGACCCTGTGAAGGTGATGCTATTCATAGTTCACAGGAAGCTAGAGAGCAGCACAAAAGATGGTGGCAGGATGGGTTTCTTCAATTCTATCATCTTAAATCCAGATGATTTCTGTGGCGAGGAGTTGGTCACATGGGCACTACTTCCCAGTTTGGGCGACAGCTATCCGTCATCAACAAGGACTATGAAAACAATCACAGAGCTTGAGGCATTCTCCTTACAAGCCGATGACCTGAATGAAGTTTGTGGCCAACACATTCAGGATGATGCATTCCAAGCACCTGAAGCCCATATTCTGGTTCTACTCGCACCAGAGGAAAACATGGGCAGCCTGTCTCATCCAGTCAGCATGGAGGCAGTGCCGAAATCGACAGAAGATGGCAGAAAGCGGCATGAGTAGTAGGTGGAAGTCATTTTCTCATTGATTGATAACAATTCGACTGAAGCAAGATGTCAGAATATTGATAGTTCTTCCAGCTCTATATTATTGGAAGTAGAACTTCCTGTCTCAAAAGATTGCCACAATCTTCGTAAAAGCGCAGAAAGACCGCCCTGAGGAGCCTGATTTCTCCATGGGTTATAGGCACAAGTTAGAATAGCACATCATATACAATGATGCATATCATATGGCCAACCAATTCAGGGCTGTATAGCAGCAAATCGACTTACAATGCTTTCTTCCTGGAAGCGTTAGGTTCGCACCTTGGAAGCACATTTGGACACCTGATCATCTTGCTAAGCGCGGGTTTCCTCATCCGGTGGCATGTCCACTTTATGATCAGGCAGAGGAAAATGTCCAGCACATCCTCATCTCTTGTGTGCTTGCTCAGAAAGCTTGGGCTTTAATTTTGCAGAGAATGGACCTGCTAGCTTTTGCTCCTCGGGAATGAACCATTGTTTCTCCAGCTGGTGGTGTTACTATAAAGGGTGTTCTCAGAGTTGAGCGTGAAGGCCTTAATACCCTTATCATCCTAGTGGTTTGGGAAATATGGAAGCACCGAAATGCTTGTGTATTTGAGATGAAGGCCTAACATAGAGGTGCTGCTTCATTCGGTTGCCAATGAGGGTGCCCTGTGGTGCTTGGCAGGGGCAGCGCATTGCATAAGGCTTGACACTTATATTGCTTTCATTTATTTTATTACTTGATGCAAAAATCTTGTGCTGCAGATGAATAGATAGGAACTAGGGTTAATCATATGATTTATTTTTATGTCAGGAAAGAACATCAGGATATAGTTGCTAGAGTTTGGCATTAGCAAACTCGAATTGCATATACACATTATTTTGAATATTGGCACAATCTACAAGGTACCATTATTGCTGCTATCGTTAATATAATGTCTTTAGATATCAACGAAAGATGTATAGTATATGTATCTACACATCAATATTATGTGGCTGATTTAGATTTTTCACCCCTTTACATATTGACAGTCAAAACTTAAAAAGCTTGGAGAGCCCAGATTCAAGGGTGGCGCCAAGTGTTGGACAGGTGACAAACTAGACAAGTGGAATTTGATCTGCCAGAGGGCAGCTTGGCCATAGGCCGCTTCTTTGTATTATAAGAAGTGGCAAACTTGGGATACAAGAAGATCTCAGCTACTACAGCATATTCTACCACATAAAGCAAATGCTAGCTTGGAAGCTAAGACATCTGAAAACTACTAGACAGTGAATAGTAACTAGCCTAGATAGTGAATAGTAAATAGGTAAAACTAGATTCATTGGGGTATTAGCACTAGGCTTAACCCTCATTTCTCCCCTTAGCCTTGTGCTCAGACTTTGGGGCCGATCTGCTTGAGACCAATCCTCTCCCTCATCTCCTCAAACTTGGCCTTGCTTACGGACTTGGTAAGAATGTACGCAAGCTGATCGATTGGTTGGAATGTGTTCGGCCTTATGCTTCCATCTTCTAGGCAGCTTCGGATGAAGTGGTACTTGATCCTGATATGCTTGCTCCTTTAATGGAAGACAGGGTTCTTGGCCAGAGCGAGGGCTAACTTGTTGCCCACCTTCAGCTCAACCACTGCCGAGAAGCTCTGCTAGCAGCCTTGATGTACCACCTGAACTGTGTTGCTTGAGAGAGGTGGCAATGTACTCAGCTTCGCAGCTTGAAAGCGCCACCACCTTCTGCTTGATAGATTGCCACTTGACCAAGCAATTGATGAGGAAGAACAACGTTTCGCTCGTGCTCTTGCTCGTGTCAATGTCGTCGGCGAGGTCGCTGTCGCAGTAGCCGACGAAGTGTGCGGTGCCGGGCGCCTTGGTGAAGTGCAGACCAAAGTCGACAGTGCCAGCGACATAACGAAGGATGCGCTTGACAGCCTATTGATCCTCCACCGTAGGCCGCTCCATGAACCGGTCAGAAGCGCAAGGCACGGGCGAGTGAGCACCTGTGTAGCGCAGACTGCCGATGAGGCACCGATAATGCGTGGGGTCGACTTCCTCCGCCGTGTTGTGTCTGCTAAGCCTCAGTCGCTCCTCCATTGAAGTATGGGCAGGGTTGCAGCTAGCCATACCGCCGAGCTCCAGAATGCGCTTGGCGTAGTGTCTACCGGAGGGTGATGCCGCTGGCATCTTGGCACACCTCGACGCCAAGGTAAGGAGGCCGAGGTCGCTCATGTCGAAGATCTTCTTCATTTGCGCCTTGAACGCCTCCACTTCACGTTCCTCCGCACACGGTGATGATGAGTGAGGTCGTCGGCGTGACGCCGACGAAAGCGAGACGAGCGCCCATTGCCCCGCCGGTACATCGCCGCCTCATGAGCGCTCTGCTGGAAGCCCATATCCTTGAGCATGGCGTCTAGCTGCTGCGTTCGGTAGCAGCGGTGCCTCGCCGCGAGCCATAGAGAGCTTTTCTAGGCGGTAGACCTTTCCTTCTTCTCGGCGACAGCGAAACCAAAGCGGTCATGCAGCACGCGTACACCTCTTGAGGTCACCATTAAGGAAGGCGGATTTCACATCCATGTGGTGGACACGCCAGCCTTCTTAAGCTGCCAGCGCGAGGACTCTGACGGATTCCATGCGCGCCATAGGAGCGAACGCGTCATCGTAGTCGATCCCCTCCTGCTGGACGAAGCCACGCGCCACCAACCGGGCCTTGTGTTTGATCACCGCGCCCAGCTCATCTTTCTTGAACTTAAACACCCATTTCAGTGTGATGGGGCGGTGGCCAGTGGGCGGTGGCACCAGCTCCCAGGTGCGATTCTACTCTACGGCCTTGACCTCTTGCTCCATTGCCGCCTGCCATGCCAGATCATCCTTTGCCTTGACGAAATTGGCAGGCTCGCCGGCGTGCATCAGGTGCAGCTCAGCGAAGAGACGCTGCGGCGGTGGAGGTGGAGGGTGATCGCCGATGATGTTGGTCATCGTGCGGTAACGTAGCGGCTCGTCGTCGTAGTAGGAGTTGAGTCGCTCTTCATCATCCTCCGGTGAGTGGCGAACTCCACTTGGTCACCGGTCCACCGTTGTTGCCACGGTGAGGTAGGTGAAGCGGTAGGGGGGCAGGGGACGCGGTGGTGGTGTTGGTGCTAGAGTAGCCGCTTGTTGCCGATGTCCCTCCGGCCCCCGGACTTAATGATTGCCAGCGCCGGCTGCTTGAAGAGCAATAAGCGGCTGGCGACGTAGTTCCAGCCGCCGCCACGCGAAGCACTCTATGCTCCCCCTGCTCCTCCAGGCCACCAGTATTCGACGGTGAAGTCACTAGCCGCCGAGGCCGAGCTGCCGGCGTCCGGAGCGGACCAGTCCCAACAGCGCCCCTCGTCGAAGACGACATCGCGAGCGACCTTCACCACAGCTGCGTCACCGAGTCCGGATGCGTCGCGCTTCGCTCTCTGCGCACGTGCCGAAAAGCGTCGGGCTTGCTGCGGTCATTGAGCTTGCCAAGTCGGCTCAACTCCTTGGTGTGGCGACGCGCCAAAAGTCTTGAGTAGCTCACCGGCGGCGTCGCCTGCCGAGCCTCGTAGGGGTCTTGCCTTGCAAGCTCGGAAGTCGGCGGCGATTGAGCGAGATGGATTGCCGTCATCACCGCCTCCCCTAATACTTCGCCGACATCCTCCTCTACTTCGCCGCCGGCCGGGCCATGGCGACCCACGGTCCGATTCCGTTCCTCCACCACGCCGTTCATGCTGTGGTGAGTGAGGCGCTGAGAAGTGGCGCTGGGTGCCCTCTCCGGCGCAGTGTTCGGCAAACTCCACGGCGGTGAACTCCCCGCCGTTGTCGATCTTGTGACACCGAGCTCTGCGGCTCTCCATCGCGGCTGGACTTGCTTTGATGGTGCCGCGGTAGCATCCTTGGACGACAGCAGGACAGCCCACATGAATCGGGACGCTTCACCCACCAGCAAGAGGAAGTAGCGCCGCCCTCCCGGAGTCGCCGGCATCACGGGTCCACATAGGTCGCCGTGAACTAGCTCCAGTTGCTCCTACGCGTGATACTACGCTTCTTCGAGGAAGAAGCGTCGGCCGCTTCGCCGTCGTGACGCAGGTGTCGCAGAGCTACTCGATGTGCTTGATCACCGGCATCCTGTGCACCATGGCCTCCTTGCTAAGCTTGTGCAGCGCCTCAAAGTGGAGGTGGCCGAACCACTTGTGCCAGCGCTAGGCTTCATCGTCCTTCATCGCGGAGGCAGAGCGGCTGCACCGTCTCGAGGTGGAGGACATAGAGGCGGCTGGGTCCGCGGCGCACCTTGACGAGAAGGCGCCCGCGCCTATCCCAGATGCGGAGCACACCTTTGTCGATCTCCACCTTGGACGCGCCTTCATCGAGCTGGCCAAGGCTCATGATGTAGTTGCGGAGTGCCGGGATGTAGTAGACATCGTGCAGGATGCGGTGCTCACAGGTCTTCCCTTGGAACACAATCGAGCCGACGCCCTGGATCTCTACCCTTGACGCGTCGCCGAACCGCAACGAGCAACGAATAGAGGTGTCAAGGACGGAGAAGAGCTCGCGACGGCCAGTCATGTGGTGGGTGGCGCCGTTGTCCAGGTACCAGCCATCCATCCAGCTTGTCTTCGCCGGAGCCGGTGTTGAGGAACGCACTGACTCGTGGCTCCTCGATGTCGAGGGTGGCGTCGGCCTTGGAGCAGAAGATATTCTCCTCCGCATCCAGCTCCAAGAAGCCGTGGGCGAGGAAGAGAGCCGCCTCGTCGTCATCCACCTCCGCGACGTTCGCTGCACCACCACGTTCACGTCGAGGGTGGGGGCAGTCCTTTGCCTCCAGGTGTCCGACGCGATGGCAGTTGAGGCAGGTGTCGTCGCGGTTCGCCTTGCGTTCGCCGCCGGCGACTCCAGCCTTCTCTCCTTGCCCGCCGCCGCCACGGTCACCACGCTCACCCTTTGGCTTCTGCTTCTTGCCGCCAGCGACGCCGGCGATGCTCCTTGGACGAAGTGGATGTGCCG